TCTCCCTTGGCCCCAGTGCCTTCCCAGGCCACTAGCAGGCTTGCAAACAGCCTGGCTCTGAGGACGAACCCTGGCCTCATCCTTATCAGCTGCCCTCCCTATCAGCTGCCTGTTTCGTTCTAGGGTCACTTTAGATGCCATCAGCAGGCAGTGTGAGAAGCACTGGGGAGATAAGGAGGGTGCAGTGTTTGTGGATGGAGGAGCACAGCTCTGCACCCCTGTAGCAACAACACTCCCCACTAAGGCCTGGCAAGTAGCTCTTGTCCTCTCTCCAAGTGAAACTCAAGCCCTTCCCATTTCCCTGACACATTCTCTGCTATTTACCAGTGGCATGCACCTCCCACGTGGACTTTGGACAACCTGCAGTAACACCTGTCCCGTGCCTGGCTGTGCAAAGCTATTTGTCCCCTGTGGAATTACCATGGGGCTCCAGGTCTGCCACACGCACCAATTCAAATTCTTCTGATTCCCACTTCCACTGAAACATCCTGGCCTTCATTAAAGTCTATAAAATGCCTCTTCTGGTATCAGATTCTTCAGAACATTCCTTCACTCTCAAGCTGTGACTCAGGAAGGCGAAAAGAAAATATTTAAACCAAGAGCTCTCTTTACAGAGGCCCCACAGCTAGAGGCAAGCTGCTGGGACACATCCTGAAGGATTTTGGTCCTTCCTTGCCATGCCAGCATTAGAAATGCAAACTGAGGGCAGACCTGCTTTTGTGGAGGACCTTGCCAATAGTTTTTATGGGTCTTTCCTTCACAGCAGAAACTAGGACTTGTTAAACAATTAATTTTAAATAGCTTGTGGCTTTTGAGCACATGGCTGCCTATGAAACACTATCACATAGTAACAAAAGCACCCAGAATCTTTATCAGACCCATCTGCCATGAACAGTTTTGTGCTTTCTTCCAAAAAAAAAATGTAAAGAGCAGTGTAAGGATATATTTCACAAACAGATTTTGGGTTGCTTTTATTTTATGACAGCCTGTACTGTAAGGAAGTCCTGACAGGTATGAGGAGCTTAAGTGCCTCAGCTGAAATCCTGTCCAGATTTAAAATAACATGAGCCTTAGGTTTATTTAAACCATCCAAAAAGTAGTTTGCTCCACCAGATCAAATTAACAGCTCTAAGGAGAAAAGCAACCTCCACAAGATCACCCATCTGTGTCTTCACAGACAAGTGTTGCACTATGTGCTCAGTTAGGTATTTAACACAATAGTGCCTCTGTACCAAACTTTTCTTGGTATCCTAAAATATATTTCTTTTAATTAATGGTAAAACACATTTTCTGTGCTTAAATAGACTCATGATGGGGATGAGGGGTATTAATTTAACTAAACTAAGAATTCTCCTTTTAGAGCTTTCCAGTGTGTCTGAGTTTCCAAAGACAATATTTGTTTTTCCCTGAAAGGCTAACAGTTCTCGTTTACTGGGGAAATTTAGGCTGTACTGTTAATTGGGAAGAGTTCTTGTTCTAAACCCCACTCTGCTAACCTACATCTGGTGCTACTTGTAGTAAATGTAGTGATGAGAAATTCAAGCTTTAACAGGATTTAGTAGCATTTGCAATTGTTTCATCACTTGCTGAAAGTGTGCAAGACTTTCTTCTCACTGTGGAGTTGTACACAAACTCTTTAATTCAAAATGACATTTTTCATAGTAGGAAAAAAAGTGTATTTTGTGCGATGGACTGTCCAATTGTTTTTTGGGTTTTTTTTAATTCTTCAAGTTGTATTTGTCTCTGCTTCATAAAGTGCTGTGATATAAAGGGTGCTGTGGCCACTAGTTTCAGTTTGCAATGTTCTGTGCTCTTGCTCACCCGCCTTGCCCAGGAACACTTTTCTAACTGCACAAAAGCCTCTTGGGCTGTTTGAGCTGGACTCCCACCATTGCTCCAGCCTTCGGTGCTGGTCCAGAGGCGTGGATCCGGCTGAACATCCCGCTGTGCTGTGCTGTGCTTTCAGCCATCGGACGGGCGGCTGTGAAGGGGTGTGCCTTTGCCAGGCCCTCGTAAGGCTCAGGTTTGACAGCCCGTGCTGGGCAAAGGCCGGCGCACGGAAACACCCTCCCCCTCTGCAGGACGTGGGCTTTGGAGTACAAAGCAGCTGATCGGAGATAAGCGTGACAGAGACGAGGGGTGGATTTACCAGCAGCAGGCGCCGAGTGGGAGGTGTGTTTTAGATGCAATGAGAGGAGAGGGCAGAGTCCTGCTGTGCACTAATCCTGTGTTTCGGGGCGGTGCAAAGTCAGATGCCTGGGCTGGGTGTGAGGCGAGGAGCCACGTCCAGCTGCAATGAGGAAACAGCAGCGTGCACAGGTGTGGAAGGGGCCAGGCAGGCTGCCAAGCAGCAAGGAGATCTTGGGAATGGAGATGCTCAGGCTGCGTGTGTGTGTATCCAGCTTGCTCCTGGCTGACTGGATCTGTGACGCACCAAGGCAGCAGTGTGATTCCCCCACGCGTGGCTGAGGGAGCCCTGCCTCCCACCATGGGCTGGAGATGGGTTTCACCCTGTCCACTTGGGAGGATGAGGCTTTCTGGGAGTTAAAAGAGTGGTTATTCCCCCAAATAACTGTGTGGTGTAGGAGCTGTGCAGTATTAGCAGTGTAAATACCACTGAGGTGATAAATCAGAGTGAATGCACACTGAATCCAGAATGGAAAGTTTTGAGCTTCCTAACAGTTGCTCTGTAATTTAAAAATTGGATACAGCTTATCTGTGTCATCTCAATAGGCAAGCAAACAGTGATCACAAAATTAGGTCACAACTTATTTAGTTCAGCAGTCTGACAACACTGCTGGGGAGAGAAAAGGACTCTGAAAAAGGTGACAGGCGAGGGCTGAAACAGTGTGCAGGGACAAAAAGCACCACTTTGGTTTGCGTCACGGAGAAAGGTCAGGGAAAGGCTGTAAGCTGAGAATCCCAAGGTGACAGCAGGGAAGATACAAAAGGGAAAACCTTGTTCTTTGGAAGCTGTATTTGGAGAAAAAAATATGCCCCCCACCCCAGATTTAGTCAACTCACAAACTTCTTTCATTTGGGGTTCCTGTACAGGGAGGCTCTGGTGGCATCCCTGACATCCCCTCTCCAACAGGGTTGCTTTTATGAGCTCGTAGCCAAGGCTTGTGGAAAGCTTTAAGGATTCCCCTTTGCCAAGGGAGCCTGGTGCATGATGTCAGTAGTGACAAAGGCTCTGAATGTGGTGGAAAAGGTTTCATTGCTTCACCAGGCAGCAGCCACTTTGTGTGCTGGTGTGCCCTGGAGTACAAACCCCAGCTGGATTGAAGAGGAAGGGGAATACCCAGGATTCCTCCTGCTCTGTGGGGGTCCTGCAGGGCCCTCCATGTTCTCATGTTGGTGGCTCAGAGGCCACTTCACACCTGAATTTCTTATGAGTTCAAGACTGTGTTGTCATCTCAGAGAGAAATGATCATTGACAGGACACTTCTTTGGTCTACTGAACTCTTTCCCTGTAAAAGGAGAAAAACAGGCTGGGAAAAGGCCTCAACCTTCCGTGGCCTGAGAATCAGGCAGAGTAACTTCCCTTGTGCAGGAAAAAGTTCCTCCCTCAAATAAACCCCAAGCAAAGCGGAGACCTCAATTAGTGCTTGAGCAAGGACTCGAGGCATTCCCTGGCACGCGCGTTATGCAAGGGTCAGGTTCTGCTGCCCTCGTTGCTGTTCCTCCCCGAAACTGCAGCCATTCACACACATGCCTCAAATGCATGAGCGCTCCCACCTACTGCTCTGCTGTGCCCCAAAGCCTCCCACTGAGGCTGAGACAGCAGTCCCAGTTTCACTGGTCCTGCACCCGGGGTCACCCGGCACAGCAGCATCAACCTGGCAGCACTGGATCCCTGTCTCGTGTATCTCAGCTCTCTTCCCACCTCCACAGAGGATCTATAGGAGAGACAGATTTGGTGCAAGATGAACTTGTTGCAATTTTTGGCACTTCAGAAGCTCATTTGTGCTAAAGCAGAGAGCAGAGTACGTTGTAGGACTCGCACAATCCAGTGAGACTCCTTTGTTTTTTTGTAAACTCTGAGGAATTACTCCACTGGACATCTCTTGACTGCACTTGGCCCCCCAGTCCCACCTGCTCCCATCACATAAACACCTAACAGGCAATTTAGGGCTGGTGTCTCTGGGAAGATGCAGCTCTGGTTATGAAACTGCCTTCCCTCTGCAAGGCTGGGACCCGTGCTACAGCACAGCTCCTTTTCTTCCCAACACACAATCCTACCGGAATGCTTTCCGTCCCGGGGCGTGGGAACAGGGCTCTAGCCACAACCTGGGTACCACTTCCTAATCCTGTGCTGTGAGGAGAGCAACTGGAGGTGCAGGAATGAGGGAGCAGCAGGGATACTGCTGGGCAGCCCCAGGCAGCTGTGCAGGGGAGCAGGGCTGTGGTGCTGCCCTGCGTTCCTTTCAGCATGGAATGGTGGGCAAGGTGGCCTGGGAACGCCCTTCCCTACTCACTGGAAGGCTGGATCTTGATCAGCTGCATTTTTAAAAGAGGGACTCATCCTTAATCTGCTGGGATTAAAAAGGGATGTGTTTTACTGCTCTCCAGAATTTAGGTGGTGTAAACAAGTGTTTTGCAAACCCCAGGACCAACAACAACCTGTCACTGTCAGCAAAAGCAAGTGCTCTACCCTGACTGGGCCAGATTTGAGCCTCACCCCAAAGCCACGGTCCCACTAATGCTGGTGGTGCTGGCTGCACCCAGCAGCTGGTCCTGGCCCTGTGGGCTGCGGAGGACTTGCCACCCGAGGGTTCTTCCTGCTTCCAGCAGAGTTACTGCATCCCTTTGCTGATAAAAAAGCAAGAAGTGGGAGGGAGGGCAGAGAGGCTCAGACAACAGTTGATTGGAATAATTTAAAAGTACATTCTTCAATAGGTTCAGTCTGTTTCACAGCTTTTGTTCTGCCTGCGTGGCTTCCTCTCTCAGGGTGGCCACCAAGGTCCCATCTCCACTGGCGGGGGACGGCGGGAGCTGCCTCAGTCGCTGTCGCTGCCGGATTGGTGTGACACTGCCCCGCGGCCGAGCTGCACCCTGAGGCAGGCAGGCAGCGCTGCCCTGCCGGTGGACGGCGAGACCTTGCTGACCGAGGACCCGCTGCGGGCCAGGGGCTGCGTGGGGAACATGATTGTACCGCGGGGTGCCTCCAGGAGCTGCCAGATCTCCCCCGAGGTGGAGCTGCCCAGGTATTCCCACGGCCGGCGCCCGCTGCCGTCCCGCACCTGCACCTGGCACCCCAGCTGCAGCACCAGCACCTTGATGACAAGCTGGTGGCCGTGTATGGCAGCCAGGTGCAGCGGCGTGTACCCGCAGCCCGAGCGGGCGTCCACGTCCAGGGCCAGCCCGAGCCGCCGCGCCGCCGCTGCCAGCTCCTGCAGGCCCGGCCCGTCGCCGTGCTTGGCCAGCCAGTGAAGGACCGTGAAGCCTGATATGAAGTCCCTCTGCAGGGCCAGCTCAGGCTCTTCCAGAAAGAGCCCCCGCACCTGAGCCCAGCAGCCCGCTGACATTGCCACCAGCCAGGCGTGCTCCCGCTGTCCCAGCGGCACCAAGGGCCCCCGGCTTGCGGCGTTCCTGGGGGAGCTCTTGGCGAGCACGGAGCGGGGCTGCCGCCCACAGTCGTCGTGTGCTGAGGGGGGGATGCCCTGCGCCTCCGACAAAGCGAGCTGGCACCTGATGCTCCGGAAAACAGGCAGTGGTGCTGGGGGCTGGCTCTCTGCGGCTTGGGGCACTGCGGGGCCCTGTGCTGGCAGCAAGGACTGGGATGGGGGCGACCTGGCAAGGGGTGGCTGCAGGGGGCGGGATGGGGACGGGAGAGTGGCGGACTGTGGCAGGGATTGGGGTGGAGGGGACCTGGTGGGGGGCAGGATCCCAGGGCCTGACGGCAGTGTCAGGCTTTGAGACGGCTGCAGTCGCAGGACTTGAGGTTGGGTTGGTCCCTTGGGGGTCAGCCCCCTGGGCCCCCTCGGCAGGTCTGGGGATGGCCTGGTGGGGAGCTGCTGCAGGGACCTGGACTGCGATGGGGGCAGCCTGGTGGAAGCGAGCACCTCGGGGCTTGACAAAAGCAGTGGCGATGAGGAGGGGCTGGCAGGGAGTGCCTGCAGGGACCGGGACAGGGGCAGCACCTCCGGGGCGGACAGCAACGGCAAGGATCGGGAAGGGGGCAGGTCGCGCGGGGACAGCGCTCTGGGGCCCGGTGACAGCAGCGGGGACGGGATGGGTCCGGCGGGGGGTCGCCTCTCCGGGCTTGCTGAGGGTCGTGGGGCCTTCAGCAAGGGCATCTCGGTCACGGGCTGCGGCGGAGATCGGGGCTGAGGCAACCTGTAGGGAGGCGGCATCTCCGGGCCCGGTGGCAGCGGCGGCGATAGGGACCGGGGCGGCACCGCGGGGGACAGCGCCCCAGGACCCGACGGCAGCGCGGGCGGCCGGGGGAGCACTGTACCGCCGGGACGAAGCGCCCAGGGGCCCGAGGACAGGGCGATGCCCCCTCCGCTCCGTCGGGGTCGCGTCGGGGCGGCGGCGGCGGCTGCGGCTCGTTCTTTTCCTCCTCCTGCTCCCGCTGCTCCTCCGGCGGCGGCAGCTCCTCATCGAGGAGGTCGCGGTACCTGCGGCGGAGGACGATGTCCTTGGAGGCGCCGGGGGCGGCGGCGGGGTGGACGGTGGCCAGGGAGTTGACGAGGCTCTTGAAGTACTCGCGGCGCTCCCGCCGCTGCTGCTCCGTCAGCGCCGGGTCGCGGAGGAATCGCTGGAAGTGGCGGAGCAGCGCCGTGTTGGGGGCTCGCCCCCCTGCCGCCCAGAGAAAGTCCAGCACGGCCTCCTGGCTCAGCTCCCGCGCCATGCTCCGGGCCGGCCGGCTTGCGGTGCTCGGTGCTGTGCCTCGGTGCTCGGCGCTACACCCAGGTGCGGCGGGGAACCCGCCTCCTGCCGCGCCGGGCCTCTCCGCCTCCTCCTCCTCCTCCTCCGCGGCCGGGCCGCCACCCCACGGTCGCCTTTGCCCGGGGTGGCGGCCCGTAGGGGTGCGAGCTGGGGTGACAGCGCTGAGGGGAGGTGACACGGAAGGAGAGAAGCAGGCTAAGGGGCGGGTGGAGCTGAGAAGTGCGAGGGTCCTTTGCTGGCGGGCAGTGGGACCAAAGAGCTGCTTATCAGTCATTGTGTCAGTGAACGGACAGGAGATGATAGGCACAAATTGAAATGCAGGAATTTCCATTCGTGTGTGAGGAGTGAGGATGGTCAGCTATGGGAAGTTAGGCACAAATTGAAATGCAGGAATTTCCATTTGTGTGTGAGGAAAAACTATTTTACAGGGAAGATGGTCAGCTATGGGAAGAGGTTGGCTGGAAAGGGTCAGTCTCCATCCTCAGGCACATTCAGTGTTCCGTGAAATCTCTAAACACCAGAGGTGCCTCCCAACCTGAACTGCTCTGTGGTGGAGAACTTAGGAAAACTGGCAATAAAGATTCGCAAATGTGCTGTGGGGTAGCTGTTATTACAAGTGTGTGTGATCGTACCCATGTACAACAACCAAACACAAATACCACGAGTGTCTGCAGTCAAATCCTATCTCACCACATCTCATCTCTGTAGTTGCTGCATGGCTGAGAGAGGTTGGACACACGTTGTACTGTTGTGGGGATCTCACTTTGTTCTGTACTGCCCATGCTGATACCACAAGTGTGTACATGACAGCTGAGAGGGATGGGTAAGATCAGTGCCCTGTGCACAAATGACAGCCCCTGCCCCAAGCAGTCTGGGGACTGAACAGTGGATAAAAGTGAGAGAGAAGGTGTGCTGGATTTTCTGTCTCACAGTCAGAGAATGGAGAGACTGAGCTCAGTGTAGGCTCCCTGGCTTTAAAGAGGTCTGGATCAGGCCCTAAGTCACAATTCACAAGCCATCTCTTCTGCAGGCTCCCGGCTATCCATAAATATTTTTAGCTGCCTGTCATGTAAGCAGCTGGAATATCCTGCAGCCTGCTGCAAAGCCAAGTGTGTGCAGCCCCAACAAACCATGGACACAGATTGCAATAGATGCTGTGTACAAGCTGCATCCCATCAGCCGTGTTCATCTGGATAGGGTGCAGGTGCTGTGGAGAGGGTAAGGCTCATGTTAGTATTTTACTTTTTATTTTATTTATATCCTTTGGTGCTGTTCTCCACACCATGAATACATTTCTCCCTCCTCTTCTGATGAGCCCTGGATGGCAGTCACAACAGCATTTGTTAGCAGCGTGCTCTCAGCAGAAATGACTGAGAGAAAATGAATGGAGTGTAATGGTTGTAACTGTGATCACAAATAAGAACTGAGGGTAGATTGCTAAGATAAAAAGTCCAAATAAAAAACAGTGGCAAGCTGTGTGGTAATTGGGAGCAAAGCCTCATCCCCCATGGGCCACAACTGTGCAGCACAGGTGAACGTTGTTGAAGGTGACAAGCCATGGAGTGCCCAGGGGCACTGACCAATCTAGAGGGAACAGAGGGTACACAGGTGCAGTGCATCAACCATGAGGGTGTAAAAGTTTGGGCTAAAGAACAAGGCAGACCTATGCTTGAAGCCTTTGGATGTGGTGTGTTGTTACTTTGTATGGGTTGAAGCCTGCTGAAATGCAGTGGTGATAGTCTGTGTCTTTTGGCTTTGCAAAATCATGTGTAACGTCTTTGGGAACATTGAAACAGTTCCTGTGGGGTCTCTGGAATGAGGGGCTGGCAATTCCCTTTGCTTGGGTGTTAATTTGTTAGCAATAGGTGTGAAATTTGGAGGAACAGGGTGCTCAATGCTAGTGATTGCAGAGCTGCACTAGCTGAGCTCTGGGAAGATGGCAAAACGTGTTTTTGTGCTGATGTTTTTGTCTCCCTGCTCTTTTAGCACGGATGGCCGTACCCATGAAGATGTGTGTGCGTGAGTATCGTGGAGGAAATGCGGCCACAGCTCTCCCAGCTCCAGGCCAAGGAAGGACAGGGTGAGTCACATCAAGGTTTTATGAGCACAGGAGATTTTCACGTTGGTTGAATTATGCTGATGTAGGAGTATCATGCCTCTCTAATCCAGACGAGGGGAAGCTCTGTCTGCCTCACCCACAGGTGCCACAAGGGCAGCTCTTGAGATAGGATCACCAGGTTTCCACTAGAGGCTGCACTGGTCCGGGCGCGTTTCCCGGCGCAGGCTGGCTCAGCGCCTCCTCACCTGGAGCTGTGCGTGCAGGAGGAATTTGCTACAAGAGCAATAATGAGTCTAATGCTGAAGCCTCCCTCGGATCTTGGCATTAACACCTAACATGTTAGAGTGATGGAAGCGCTGCATCAGCTATGCTTGCCAAATGTTCCTGATAGACAGCCTTGCATGTCTGTTGGTGTTGCTGCTTTGCTGGTGGGGGCTGCACCTGTGCCCAGCTGAGGCTCTGGCCAGGTGCAGATCCTCAGCTGCTGGCTGGGGAGCAGGGTCAGGTAGTGCACTTCCTTTGGTTCTGGGTCAGGCTGGGGGTGCAGGAGATGGTGTGGGTGACCACTCTCCATAATCAGCTCCTGAGTTCTTCAAAGCACGATCATAAAAGCTGCAGGAAGGAGAAACTTGGACTCCGTAGCCTTCTTCAAACAGTGATGTGCTATTATGTAGCCATACAGAAATGGCTTCTGGAGGGAAAAAGTACAAGCTTTGACATCGAAGGGACTAGAAATGGTGAGTGTACTGTGAAGCTCTATTTGCTTACTGCTACCTTGGGTCATTTATTTGTGCTCTCAGTTTTTATTCTGGCTGGCTTTTTCCTTGTGATTCTGTGGATTTTCTTACTTGGTGGTAGAGCTCTGGTGTGTGTCCATAATTCAGTGTATCTATCCTTCATGTGTGCAGCAAATAGGCTCTCTTGTCTTCTGCAGTCCTTTGGGGGTTTATGTCTCACAAAGCAGTGTAGGGCCCGTTCTTTATCACTGCCTTGGTCCAAGATTGGCAAACAGACACGTTTAGCTTAGCCCTAAGAGTACCTCCTTTTAGATAAAGGGATCTCATGCTCAACACCAGGGTGTTAAGTGTTTGTCAGCTGGAGTGGCAAGGAGCCAGCTATGCTTGTCTTTAGCCCTGGAAGTCGTTTAGTGGAGTGGGAGTGTAGGCACACAGTTTGTGGAATTGGGAGTGGGGCTGCAGCCCAGCCTCATCCCCAATGGGCCGCAGCTGTGCAGCACAGCTGAACGTTGTTGAAGGTGACGAGCCATGGAGTGCTCAGGGGCACTGACCAGCCACCAGAGGGAACAGAGGGCACACAGGTACAATGCATGAACCGTGAGGGGTGTACAAGGCTGGGCTAAAGAACAAGAAGGGCAGATGCTTGAAGCCCTCTCAAGTGGTGTGGGGACACTCTGAGTATTGTGGCTGTCTCAACTGTGACAATATGCTGCAGCATGGGAGAGCAACTGGCCACCGTGGCTGCTGTTTGGTATACCAAGTTTGCTAACAGCAGTGTCTATGCGTTTGACAGAAGAGAAGTGCTCGGAGAAACAAGAGGAATGAGGTGCCAGGTTTTATCCTCTGTTATACAAGGGAGTTAAGGGCTCCTGTGTGCCTCCTTGTTAGAAAGACCTCTTTGCTGAATCCCTGCGCTCCTTCTTCGCCTAACTGCTGGTATGAGGATGATGCTGGCCGCTTCCTTGGCCATCTCTGCAAGGATCTCTGGAGCAGATGGATCTCTACGTTCAGCTGTGGGGCTGCCAGGGCGGGCGAGAGAGACCCTTCGGGGTGAAGGGGCCGGGTACCGCGGCCCGGCGTGGGGGGCGTGAGCAGGGAGAGGGATTAGTGGGGGGTTACCGCTGGGCACCGACTGCAGCCCCCGGGGCTCCCGCCGACTTTCGGGGCTCCGCCCGCGCTGCCCGGCGGCCCCGGGGGAGGGCCGGGGGGGTCCCGCCTCGCCGCCCGGCCCCTTTGCATTGCGCATGGGCCCTCCCCGCCGGGTGGCCATGTTGCAGCGCTAGCAGGCAGCGCAGAGGCGGCGGGCGGCAGCGCAGCGCAGACACCGCACCGCGATGGCCGTGGCCGTGGGCAGACCGGCGGTGCGCGGGGCCGGGGGGCGGCGCGGGGCCGGGGCCGGATCGCCCGAGCGCGGCGGCGGGGCTGCCGGGGGCTGCAGGGGCGCAGCGCCGGGGATGCCTTGCCGGGGGTTGTAGGGGTGCGGGGGGCTGCGGGAGCGCGATGCCGGAGGGCACGGTGGGCTCGCCGCGGCGCGCCGCCTCTGCCCCTTTCCGGGGCCGGGGGAGCCCGCGCAAAACTTTTTTTGGCCCCGTTTTGGGGCCGCGGCTCGTGATTGCGGCGGAGCCGTGGCGGCGGCGGCGGGCAGCTGCTCCCGGAGCCCCGCGGGCACGGGGAGACGGCGGGGGTGCTCCTGGGCTGCGCCCGCCGCCGCTGAGGTGTTGGTGCCTTTGCCGCGGGTGTTTGTGCCCCGCCGCCGGCCGTGGATGGGAAGGGCTGTGCCCCGTGCGGGTGGGCAGCCGGCGGGCGGGACGGGCCCGCGCTGCCCGGGACGCCGCGGCAGTCCCGGCATGGCAGTGTTCCTGGGACACGCGTGTCCTGCGTTTTCCAGCGTGACCGTTTTTTCTGGGGATGTGGTGGACGAGAGGGTTTTTAGGTTCGTTGTGAGAAAGACAAAAGGTTTCCCCCTGACGGGGAGAAAGTGGAAAAAAAAAAACCCCAAACCCACAAAAACTAAGTATGCCGAAAAAGAAAAGGAAATCTCTCTTGCGTCCAGCTTGCAGAAACGCGAATGAAACTCCACCGTGACCAGACTGAATGCGCTTTTGTGCATTGTCGGCCAGGGGAGGGAGAGACTTGACCGACTTCCCGGTAACTTTTTCAGTGCTTGGGAGTAACGTACAAGTTGCCCATGAGTGGAGGACTTGCATGTGACTCCCTCTCAAAATAAGAAAATGGTCTGCTTTCAGGATGAGACCAGTTTCTTTTAACGTTTATTATGTGCTTGTGGATCTGCGGGGCTGTATGGTTCCTCTGATGTGGCAAAGCAAATGTATGGAGATGGGGTTAATGGTGTTACTGGAGGTGAGGAAGTTATGCTACTAAGCAAAATAAGAGCTGGTGTTTCCTAACAGAATACCTGTAAATTATACCAGCCATTTGTAAAGCTTCTTCTGAAATGTTTCCTTATCTTGGGGTCTAAAGCATGCTTAGAAATTGAAGTTTGTCTTTCGGGGTAAGAATGTGCATTGAAAACATGCCTTCAGATGGTTTTTACGGCAAGCTGAAGGGAATTGCCAAGCAGAGCCTTTTGGCTTTGTGTGGAGCAGTAACTTTGCAGCGTAAATAGGCTCAGGAACGTGGCTTATTGCAAGACGTGATTGCTGTTTGTTCTTGTGAATGTGTTTGGCGCTTTTTTCTTTTTTTTTTTTTTTTTTTTTTTTTTTTTTTTTTTTTTTTGGTTGTTGCTATGTTGAGCTGGTGCTGCTACTGAGCCTCCTGGGTTATTTTGGGGAATCCAAGTCCAGGGCCATCCCGGAACCACATCCACAGAGGGTTTTGTACCAGTTAAACCAAATTCTTGTCTGTGGACTGCTGAGTCCAGCCCAGTGGGACTGACTGGGGGATGAAGCATCCATCAGCATGGGAGAAGCGTGTAGGAGAGGGAAGGAGGAGGGCACTCAGCTTCCTCGCAAGCAGCTGCTGGGCAGACCCTCCATCCTCCGGAATCCGTGCTTTTTGGACAAGGGAGTTGTTTTATCTCGGGGTGATAAGAGAAGAAAGGACGGTGGCCTGGCGCTCAGGAGGTGTTGGGCATGCTCTCTCTTATGTACCTCCTTATCTAATCCTCCCTGCTCCCACTTTGCATGCTGCTGTTGTGTTGCTGGGAGGGCGGCAGGCAGTTGGAAGGAATAGTTAATTATATGTTAGGGCAAGGCAAGACTGGTGAACGTTTGCCTTTCCAACTTTGTTACAAAACATGATGAAGTGGAGCTGTGAGTGGCGTGCAGCTTGTTGGAGGGAAAATTAAAGGAAGGGAGAAAAGAAAAAGGAAAGGAATGAAACCAAAAGCAAGTCAGTTGGAGCTAAAATGATGATAACATTCCTGAGTCACAACCTTTTACGTCCTGGCAGGATATGACATTATGTTAATTGCAAAAGTATGCATAGAAAAATAACTTGAGCAAACAGCTCTGAAGTGTCTGTGTTTAATTGTAGCCGAGCAGGGCGTGTTTTGGTAGGATGGGAGGCTTTCTTTTTAAGGCCCTGATCCCACAGATGTGAAGGCACATGTGTAATGTGCTGCCTGTAATTTGGTTTGACTTAATGGAGTCTGATCTCGGCATGCAAATGTAGAGGCATGCATAAGCAAAGTTTTGGCAGGATGGGTGCCGGGAGCTGCCGTGGGAGCTCTCAGCTGATGAAATCCATGCCTGTGCTTAAACATGCACCAGGCTGGGAGGATGCTGTGGTCATCTGGGCTCAGTGTGAGATAAGCCACTTCCAGTCTGGAAGCTGTTGAGATGTGCTGGATAGGGGACACTTTTCTTCCTCTTGGATTAATTCCCAGCATCTTGACCAGTGTTGGGTGGTTTGTTCGTAGATGTGAGTATGGAAGAGGGCCCTGGCCTACCTACCCTTCTCTTTGTGTTTATCCTAAATGTGTGCAGGACCAGAGCTTGGTTGTGTTACATGAGTGAGACTCGTGTTCATTTCAAAGTATGCTTTGGTGTACCCTCCTCTCCAAGTCTGACAAAAACTGAGGAGAAAATGAAGCTGGAGTACAGATTTTGCATGGGAACCATAGAACATGTTATCAGAGAGATTAAAACAGCACAATGTATTCTTACTCTTCAATCTGTTTTAAAAATACTTGATAATGAGAGACTGCTGGTTTCCATGGAGGGAAGGAAGGAGAGGGAGTTGGGAAGGTAGAGCGGGGCTGAAGCCTCTGTGCTTTGTCTTTGAGCAGCAGATTTGCTGACACCCACTGGGTTCAGCAAGAGCTGGGGGCAGCACCTTTGGAGAGAGCCTCACCTGTGTGTGCTGCTGCGTGCCAAGGGCCACCAGGACCGCTGCCTGGGGACAAGAGGTGGGCACCAGGGAAGGGAGTACCCCACGCTTCTGTGTTGTGGGGCTGCAGATTCCTCCTGGTGATGCTGTTGCTCCTGGTGGGTGGCACTGCTTGGGCTGCTGAGGTGGCCAGGGCACAGGGTTTGGCTTCCTTGCCTGCTGCTGCCAAGTGGGGCTTTTGGGCCTGGCCTGGCTAAGCTGTGTGCACCAAGGAAGCAGCCCTGGGTGGTGCACACAGGACTGTGTTTTAGTCTGTGACCTTTTTGTTTCCTTTATTCACCTCGCTGCCTTGTTTTCAGTAGGAAATTGTTTCAGACAATTCTTTCTGCTCCTGTTGATGTTAACAATGGTGGGAACCTGCCTCCTCCTTGCTTTTATTTCAGCACAGCCTGGGTCATGGGGCAGGTTGTGTGTGAGCCCACCACACGCTCAGGACCTCCAGCTTTTGCAGTGTGAATGAGCTGAGCTGGAGTCAGATTCTTGAGATACTTAGAAAAGCCTTGCTTTGTGTAGGTGAGATGATGGGGATGCAATTTTAGTGCATGAGTAAGGGCCCCTAAAATAATGATGAGGATTGACTAAGCATGAATCTGAGGAATAAAATATTTACGTGCAGCTGAGGCATGTTTTATATGTCCCCTTCCTACTCCTGCAGCAGCCCTGTGGCTCTTTGTGGCTCTTCGAGGTGATTCTGGGAGCACGGGCGTGAGGCTGCTCAGTGCTTGCTTGGCAGGAGAGATGCCAAGGGCACAGGGTCTTCTGTTAGCTTGGCAAATGCTGCAGCTTCATCCAGCCTTGCCCTTGGCGTGGTTTGGCTCTAGGCTTCAGTCCTGTGAGCTGCAGGGGCTCTTTCAGGGCAAGATACTGAAGCAGCTTCAGCGTAGAACAGTTGGATGCGACCAGGTGATGTAAAAATAAACAAAAAAAGCCTCCCAATAGTACTCGAAGCTTTTTTTAGGTACGCTGTGGAGCTGCCTTCACTTCCAGCTCTGTGAGCAGCTCTCCAGCCCGCTGGAGGAAGCGATGCGTAATAATGGTTCAGACAAACACCGCGGCACGGGGACAGTTCAGCACTGCTGCTGCTGGAGGAGGCTCTGGAGCAGAGACACAGAACCCACTTCGGGCTCTCACTCTCTTAGCTCACAGCGGCCTTAATGGAAATTTACCCCAAATGTTGTTCTTGCTCCATGGAGTGTAAGTCCTTGTTTGTGTCCACTACGCAGTGGGACCAAGAGATGCCCCTTCTTGGCTGCTCCCTCCAATCTGGATGCATTTCCCCATCCTCTGCACCCTATGTGGGCCAGGACTTTATTGTCAGAACTGTTGTCCACAGCTTGGGCAGGTGGGATGAACGGGGGTGTGGGCAAGGTCCACTTGGCCATGCACAACGTGCTGAAGGAAGAACAGCTCCCTATGGTTTTCCTTTAGCAGCCTTTCTGGAAACTTCCTCCCTCTTTGGAGCGCTCTGCTCATCCCATCTAAGTGGTGCTCTACTGGCACAAGCTGTAGTCCTAAGGCCATTACTGCCTTTCCCTGCTAGTACAGGTATTTTGCTGAGCTCGGTGATTTATGAGTCTAGAGCTATCTTTGGGACTCCTTACTTAAAAATACAGGCTGCACCCGTGTTGTTGGCAACAAGGGCTTAAGATCTGGGTTTGCAATTAGAGCTGTTGAAGTGTCTGCAAATAGGAAGAAGCTGCATCTTTTCTTGCAGGCTTAAGGTTTTTGTTTTCTGTGGTAGCATCCCACATAAGGTGCCATCAGAGAGCAGACTGGTGCTGTTTTGGGGAGTTGGTGATTTCTTCCATCTGAGCTTACAGCTTCTTTAGATCTTTCTATTGTCTAATTGGATTTTCTGTTTCTGGGTTTATTTTCAGATGGGATCTGGCTGCTGGAAATATGTTATCGAAGTACTGTAATTGTGGGTTATTTCTTTACCAGATCTGCTCATGAATACTTGGCACAAGCTAATAGAAAAAGACTTGGTTTAAAAACATTTTGGTTTTGCCAC